GTCCTCTATAGATTTTTGCTACCTCTCTGTCTCCCCAGTTAGTTTTACTGTCTCCTGCTTTATGACACTACAAAGTTAAAGAAATTTCCTTTATAATTTTTCCTGACATTGCTAATACAGCACACAGAATCATTTTTTCTCACCACTAGAGCACGAATCCACTAAACACATTGGAATTAATATGTAGAGTAAGATTTGCTGGATGCTTTAACAAGGCAGTTTGAGTGAACATTGAGATCCTGAGCCATTTACCATGAAGCCTTCCCGTTCTCCTTGTAGTTCTGTATGTTTTTTATTGAGTCACTGCATGTTCAGTAACTAATCTGTCACGAGGCTTCAAATGCAGAGTTCATGACCAACAGAGTTTCCACAGATGGTCTACAAATATGCAAGGCCAAGAAATGTTGGGCTTGATGCTGCCTGTAGCAAGAAGCATGGAGCAACTTTCCTTGCTCAGGCAATTCCTATCCTATGGGTAAAACCTGGTTTAGAAATAAGGAAAGTCTACAGCATAAAATACTGAAAAAAAAAATAAAATCTAAGTACTGTCTATAAGAATAAGGGATTTTAGAAAACAGATCAGGCTGTGCAGTGTGATGCCTGATATGTCATCCAGTGGTCAAGATGTTGTGTTGGTGCTGAGGAAATATCATCTCTCTGGGTTTATGCTTTCAAACCAAGGAATGTGCTGAACATGAGCCGTCAGTGTGTCCAGGTGGCCAAGAATCCTGGTCGGTATAAAAAATAGTGTGGCCACCAGGACCAGGGCAGTGATCATCCCCCTGTACTCGCCACTGGTGAGACCACACCTCAAATCCTGCATTCAGTTTTGGGCTCCTCACTACCAGAAAGACATTGAGGTGCTGGAGTGTGTCTAGAGAAGGGCAATGGAGCTGGGAAGGGTCTGGAGCACAAATCTGAGGAGTAGTATCTGAGGGAGCTGGGGTTTTTTAGCCTGGAGAAAACGAGGCTCAGGGAGGACCTTATCTGTCTCTACAACTACCTGAAATGAGGTTGTAGCCAGGTGAGGATCAGTCTTTTTTCCCAGGCAACAAGGGACAGGACAGGAGGAAATGGCCTCAATCTGCACCAGGGGAGGTTTAGTTGGACATCAGTGAGAATTTTTTCACTGAAGGGGTTGTTAGTAAATGGAAAGGGCTGCTCAGGGAGGTGGTGAAATCAACAGCCCTGGAGGTGTTCAAGAAACAACTGGACATAGCACTTAGTGCTGTGGTTTAGATGGCGCGGTGGTGTTTTGTCAAAGGTTGGACTTGATGACCTTGGAGGTTTTTTTCAATGTTAACTACACTATAATTTTAGGAGGATGATGTCTTTCAGGTCTGTGTTTAACCTTGCCTACTGTTTACTCTGTTCAGGAATGTGAGCAGAGCAAGCTGAAACAAAATCCAGATGAAACTACAATGAGTCATCTAATCAACACTGTATGAAGTTCTTTTTTTTTGGGAAGTTTAAATATACAATGCTGCTGCAATTCAGTTAAGCAGTTGAAAATAGGCTTAATGTAGGTGCACGGATAGTTCTGTCACTTAAAATTAAACAGAAGCAAGTGCTTTATTAGATTGGGGCTAAATTTGCTTGCTAAAATTATTTATTGTGAATGACAGATATCTGAACAGCAGTGCCCTCCGGTGGAATATACCTGAGTGAATATGTAATCTATAGTCCATCAGTGACAACGTCCTTGTCTTCTGGTTCTGTTATAGGAATAAATCTGAGATTTATCAATGACCTAACCCTGTTCATTCTCTCTTTAAAGGGGAAAATGCAGTTCTTTCAGCTTGGATTAAGGTGATACATTTCAGTGAGAGAGAGAAAAATCTTCTGAGGAGCTGATTAGCTGCTGGCTGTGAATGACCAGTGGGTGTTGATGGGAAATAATGGCTTGGTTGCAGCTCTCCAGACACGGAGTTCTTACTGTGCATGCAGTCCCTTCTACAAAACAGATGGTCTAGTCCACAGCAAAGAGTCAGGTGAGTATCAAGAGCTGGACACAAATCTCCCAGACTCCACATAAGCTCCACTTCATGTGGAAGCATGGCACAGTCAGCTCTCATTACATCCCTGTGAGTGAACTCAATGCCTTCCCAGCTGGGCTGAAGCCAGATTGGCTGGTGGAGACCCAAGGAATGGCAGCTGCTCTGGGGACTCTCTGCTTCCATGAGGGAAAATCCCTCCCCAGTTCTCTGACTCTCCTGCATGCTTTCCTCGAGGCAGAAGGGGGGGGGGGGGAAGTAGGTCTGTCCCTTCTGTGCTCCTGCATGGGAGAGGAGGAGAGGGGTGAGCTGTCCTCTTTCATCCTGGGAATGACACCCAGCCCATCAGGAGGGCTGAGCTGCAGCTTTGAGTTGCTGCAACAATCATCAGGGAAGTTACCTGGGCTTGAGAGGGGACACAAATATTGTCTTGAAGCTAAAACAGATTGAGAAGCATCTGTGAGCTTGAAAGCCAGGAGACTAGTTTAGGCTCTGCCTGTAGACAAAGGAAACACTGTCTAGACTAGTGGGACTGAACCATTGCATGGGGACAACAGTGTCTCAATGAAGGAGAGGGAAACCTAGACACCTGGCTTTGACTGGGCATCATCTGCAGTTGGAGTAGATGATCATTGTAGGTCACTTCAAATTGAACTGTTCTAGTCTAGTCTAGTCTAGTCTAATTTAGTCTATTCAGTTGCATGTGGCTATGGTTAGGTGAAATTAATCCTGCAGCACTCTAGGTGAGCTTGAGTCTGCTTTAGCCTAACTAGCTGTTGACACATCAAAATATTCAAGCAGTCAATACACCTGCTTGACATTGTCTGGGGAGCCAAGTGTTTGCCCAGCTTTGGAGGTGGGCTGAGGGGAAGTGCATCTGAGACAGCGTGAGCTTCCGAAGTGGTGTTTATCACTTCCAATAAGCTTTCTGCATCTGTGGCGTTGCTCCTTTGAACTTTCCTAAAAAGAAGCTAACCCGGATACATCTCTTTGAACTGCAGATGTCGTAAGGAACCTGCAGGTAGCGCTGTTATGCATGTTATATGTATTCCCACTGTGAGAAACCATCCTGACCTCAAATAGCCTAGAGTCAATAGAGAAAAAACATGAACAGGCATTGGGGGGTAGTGAAACAATGTCTTTGATGGTGTCCAACAAATCAGTGGAAGAAATGATGGCATAAAAGCTGAAGGAAAAACAGGAGTGAACAGGCTATTATAGTTTAACTTCTTCCCAAGGAGAGCCTGGGGTATTTTTGCATAGGTATTTGTAATATTCAGTCTGCATTATAATTGTCCTTTGAAGGACTAAGCTTCATGAGATGAATAAAGAACAGTAATGCAATGACATAATTTAATTTCAGAGTATATTTCATATAACAACATGACAAGTGTCTTGTTCCCATTAGCCTTGGAGGCTGTGTCCTTGATTTCAACACTGCATTGATGCTGTGGGAGCATCATCAAACTGGTAGTGATATGGAGTGCCAGACTATCTGCTGTGCTGAGAGGGATGCACCAGTTTAGAATGGTGCTGCCTGCCAGCATTGCCTCTGAACGCAGGTAAATGCAGGCCACAATCATGGATTTTAATGGCTCTGTGAGATGTCTGATGAAAAGCGTTTCTCTGAGACATGTTCTTATGAAAATTTCTCCCAATTTCTGTTAGAGAGCATTAAATAAGAGGAGTCACTGTCATATATGATATATATCAAAATTAAATAAGGAACAAAGAGCTCAGCAGAAAGAAAGTGCTTCTCTAGTGTCACTGCAAGTACATGCCACCTCCTAGAATGTGAGAGAAAGGAAAAAGCATTGTAAAGTTCCATAAACAGTAGTTAAATCCTTGCTAAAGACCAGAGACATGCAAATGCCACTGTATCCCTTCCAAATTTTAGAGTTACCTCCTAAGAAAAAGCTATTAATCAGAGTAAGCTGCAAGTTGGTTTTCATCCTTTGGCTGATCCAAAAGGCCAAAGCTGGATGACAATTTCATCTGGAGGCGAAGGGATGCCACCAGCTTTCCCAAGACATAGGACTGCAGACACTGCAGATCTGGTGACGAGTGCTGGTCAGAATTTTCAGATGTGAAAAGAGTGGAACAACAAGGGAAAATCTTGATCCACCTTAGAAAGGAAGATCACTGTCCCTACGACTGATATCAAAACAGACCCATCACTACCAGTGGCACTTTTCAGCTTCCTTAAAATCTCTAGGCACTGGGGGACACCTAACATGTCAAGAATTTCCAGAGCACTAAGAATGTATATTTTCCTTCTTTGTAGCAGTGACAACCACGAATAAGTACAATTTCTGCTTAGATTAAAGGACAAAGACCCCTAGGAGTCCAGCATCTTGGGAAAGAGATGTTCAGAGCTACATATCAGCAGCCTAGATGATTATTTACCATGATGTTGCAGCTTGAAGTGAGTGTTGCTTTTATGAACAACTTTTGATTTGGCACCATGTGCCTGTCTGATGAATGCCTGTGAGCCAAGAGCCAGCTTTGGGTTAGGGCTTGGTTTGGGAATGCTTTAAAACCTGGATACTTTTTCTGGACACCTATTAAGGAGACTCCTAGAGCTATTTTATCAATAACCGTGAGGGTACAAAGTACTGTGTCAAACTCATCAGAGTTTTCCTACAGCATTTTTCTCCCGTAGACCCTGAGAACCATCTCCAGGTGATCTTCAAAACAAGTACTGCTTAGTGTGTTCTAAGTCCTTTTAAGCACTCACAGGAAAGGAATTATTTACTCATCACTGGAGTTGAGATATGCCATCCATGTGCTCACTCACCCTGCACCCTCTTTACTCTCCCTCCAAGCCCTGGGTCATCCAGATGACTGCTGTGTGCCAACTGAGGCAACAGCCCAGCCATTACTCTGGAGCGCTGGGGCTGTAAGATACATCTGTACTCACCCAGGTACAGCAAAGGCAAAACGTTTCCAAGTTTTCTGCAGGCTGTTGCTGGGAAGGAGAAGAAACCTCCTGAAAATTGGCCTTACCTGCAGGAGGATCTCTCTGATGCGTTGGCTCTGCCAGGTTGTTGTCTTCACCCCCATGCAGTGGAATTTTGAGAGGTGCATTGGATCCCTGATGGCAACAGCTGTCTCCTTGCACACTGATTCCTTTGTCATCAGTGACTCTGACTAGAGAGCACATTGTGACCTGTGAGTTGTCTTGTCAATGTGCAAGTACTGGCTGTTAAAATCGGCAGAAGAAAAACAGGAAATATCTAAGTTTCCAGCCCAGAGAGAGATTCCTCTCTGTTGAGCTTCTGGCTGGGGCTAGGGGATCATGAAATAGGGTGTACAAACACAGTGTGCAAACAGTCTCTGACCTATGTTGAAATGGTTTGTTTTGTTTTAACTGATAGCACGAGCCATGTGACAGACACTGACAATGCACATGGTGCATAATCCCTGCAAACAGCTATCCTGTCAGGCTCACCAGTTAAACAATACCTAGGGAACTATTGCAACAATTTCTCCTAAATGTTTGCCACAGACACAATTCATATCACTGGTAGCTTCAGGGTAATTTCAAGGGTCTGTATTTAGAGGACTGGAAAATTTTGTCCAGACTAAAAAGCCAGAGAGCATGATCTAGTAACTCTTCTCAGGAAATATGCATCTTTAGATCCTATTTCTTTTTGGGTTTTACTTGGGCTTATTGAATCAAGTGAAAACAAACTACAGCTTTTTATTTCTATTTGTGATGGAGGGGTTTGGGTTATGTTGTGTTCACCCGGACAAGAAGCTCCAGTGCTACTAAGGTACAGTCACAAGAAGAAGACATAACAAAGAGGCTGAAATGTGAAACCAAACAGGACATCAGCATCAATCCTATTCAGCAGCTAATTCTGATCAGTGGTGACATACTGCAGACTGCTATTGCTGTCTGCCTACCAATACTGAGTGTCTCTGTAGAAGGATGCTAATGTGAAGTAGGCCTGTAACATAGAACTGGAGCAAAAAGGTCAAAGGAATGCAAATTGTATGGAGATATATGATTTAGACATGGTGGGGCCTGATAAGCGTTAAGCAGGGATTTTATAGACTATGCTTCACACTCAGCTCTGCAAAACGCGCTGTCACTTACCTGCCATTCGTATGCAGACTGTCCTTTTCCATGCTACACTTCTCATCCCTTTCTACCTTAAATGAAGATCCATCTTCTCTTCTTGCCATTTCAACCAAAAACAATAATGAGGGAGATCTGCATTAACTCAGTATCTGCTGTTGGTCTCCACTGAGTGTATGAGTATGCATGAGCCCCCTCCTGCTTTTCCAGACAGCTCTGACTGAGGTACCATACTCCTTCCCTGAGAGCCTGAGAGGAGGCTTCTCTTCTGTCCTGCTGCAGGGCTGCCTGCTACAGGGCTGCCATTCTTCACCTTTACTCTTCATCTTTTCTGCCATCTGCTCTGCTCAGACCTCCCTGTACACTGAGGCCAATAGGAAAATCCCTGCCATCAGTTAGATGGCATAGCCCCCATATCAGACGTGAAGATGTGGAGCAACCAAAACATTCTGTAATACTCTGTCTCATAGCTCTGCTCCTCAGCTGTGGGTGTTTTGTCAGCCATTACCCTGTCCACAGATTGTAATAGCATGTAGGAATGTGTGTCCTTTAACAGCTCGTTGTTTAATTTGTCTTAGTAATTATACTCATCTTGTTTTAAATTAAAAATTTGGCTCAAAAAAGTTAATTCCACATATATGGCAAAATGCACAAGAAAGCTGGGGAGGGACTTTCTACAAGGGCATGTAGTGATAGGACAAGGGGTGATGGCTTTAAATTGAAAGAGGATAGGTTTAGATTAGATATTAGGAAGAAATTCTTCACTATGAAGGTGGTGATCCACTGGAACAGGTTGCCCAGAGAAGCTGTGGATGTCAAATCCCTGAAAGTGTTCAAGGCCAGGTGGACTGGAACTCTGAGCAACCTGGTCTAGTGGAAGGTGTCCCTGTCCACAGCAGGAGGTTTGGAACTAGATGATTTTTAAGGTCCCTTCCAACTCAAACCTTTCTACGATTCTGTGATTTCAGAGCTCTGTGGTATCCCGTCTGCAGCATGAAGGTCAAACAGTGTTCATGAAAAGTGTGTGCATTAAATGGAAAAAACACTGGCTCACCGGCACGCTGTGAGGGGCAGCAGGGAATGGGGAGCCATCAGGGTGTGGGCTGCACCCACTGAAATGGTCCATGGATTGGCACAGCACTCAGCGTGCAGCAATAGTTTTACCAGTGTTCTCAAAGCAAGTCTAAAGCCACTGATAACAGAAAATCTGCAGATGATGCTGGTGCAATATCAAGCAGTGGCAAGAGCTGGGCAGCCATTCAGAACTGGAGAATTTGCATATGCCCAGGAAAAAGCCATTTTCCCTGGTGCTGTACTGGCCTTTGAGGCTGGCCACATGGTCAAAAGTGTGGTCAGCCCATGTGGCTGGGATAGCTGTGGGTGCTTGGGGCAGGCTTGGGAGGACATGGTGGGCAATGTCATGTAGATGCTGTCAAGCAGGTGGGGTGGCCTGGGATTCTTACCACAAGGTCCCATCAAGGAAAAACTTTTGCTGAGTTGCTGCAGGAGCAGATAGGATTTTCATAAAATCACCATTTGGGTTGTTCATGAAGGAAATATGAAGGGAGGGTTCATCATGAAGGGAGGTGGTGGTGCTTTGGAGTACTTCTCCTCTGAGTAGGGCCAAGGTTTTCACACCAGATCCACGGGACAGGGGACTACAGCCTAGGAAGCAGAGCATTGAGAAAGGATTATGGTGATGCAGTGTCAGCCCCCTCTGAGACACTTCGAGAAAAATGCATTTTCTGTGTGCCTCAAGAGAGGGGTAACAAATAAGTCGGGACTGATCTGTATGCACAGCATTGGGAGACCATACTGAGAATCTCTGAGTGGTTCAGAGGATTCAGAGGATTAGAAGCAGATATGAGCTAGGTTATTCTGCTTTCCTTTTAGTCACTGAAGGTACTTTTGGAGAGGGGCATGTTGCATCCTATCTTGGGCTTTATAAAGGATGTAGAAGCGCTGCTGAAGACACAGAAAAGACAAAGAAAAAGGATGTATGTAGAGGAAATGCTGAAATGTGGGAGCTTCAAAGGTTTTGGGATGTTCAGACTGCTGGAAATAAAAATGAAACATTGTTTGATTGTGACCTGGAAAACCTTGACAAGAAGAAAATACCAGTTAGTGAATGTCTCATAGCTCAGGTCAGAGAAAGGTATAGTGAGTTCCAGTGGTTGGACACTGGAGATGGAAAATTTGAGTAAGAAAAAATAAGGTGTTGATATGAACTTGACATGAGTAGCTAGTAGAGCAGGCAGTCAGGGAAGGAGCAGGGTCTCCACTTCCTGAGGACTGCCAGCATCAGCAGGATACTTCTCTGGAAGACTCTCGTCAAACACATTGCTAGGCTCGAGGAGGAGAACAAGAATATCATGTAGTAGCTGTAACGTGTGGTGAGGAGCCCTAAAGGGCTTAAACTCTCTGGATCAGTGAGTGAAAGGAGTAGAATCTCATTTCATCTTGCTGCAGTCATCAATTGTTTTGTTGAAAGTCCCCAATTTAGACATATGGGTCAAACAGAGGGACATATGAAAAGGCTTGTTGGGGTATACTGTCTGTCACTGCACTGAGCTGGACTCCTATGGGAATTACAGAAATGCAAAATCTAGTTATTAAATTAAATTAGTACCACTAAGGTGTCAATAGATAGACTCATCTGGTTTTCCAGAAGGAAGACTTGCTGCTAGAGCTGCCATTTTCCAGTAAAAATAACTATTCTGTACCATGTATGCTTTTTACAGTCACCCATCAAATACCAGCTTATACCAAGAAATGGTTTGAATGGGAGATACAGAAAATAGGACAGCCTAATCAGAGGCAGGCTGAAATCAAGGTCACCATACCATATTCCATGTTGAGATACAAACCAGCTATTCTCTGGGACAAGAATGCAAAAGTTTTTCAGCATACAAATTATGCTGCAAACATTTGTATCGTGTTTTTGTGGTGCTTCCCCTACCCCTACCTGCTGTCCCCAACCTAGAGGCTCTCTGTGCTGATCTCTGTGTCAGGTAAAGGCAAGTCACTTCCCTTGCTCGTGCCTTACAAGGAAGGTCATCAGGGATTTACTGGAATGACATGAGAGCATTTGAGACCTTATATGTGCGTTCTCAGCTTCACCCCAGCATGAACCTGTATCCTAGTAGAATAAACTAGTTTCAGCTTTATGCCATTGGTTCCCCTGCAATACCAAATCCAGGAAAAAAGGTTGAATTGATTTCCCAAAAAAACAAGTCAGACATTCAGACATTCATTTGGTGCTCGCCTTAATTTTCACACTGACAAGATATATGTGATGGTTTTAGAATAAAAAGTAAATAGCAAAATTTATGAATGAAATGGTCTGACTTTCTCTGGAGAAAAGCTTTTTTTGTTTATTTTTGTAAAGAAAATCAGACAAGAATTTTGGGTGACCAACAAGTTCAGAAAACAAACTGCTGATGTTATGCTGAACTGGTCTATTAGTATGGATACCAAGAGGCACTCTGCTCATCATTTACGCTGAGAAGGAACGGTTTCACATGCTAATGCCCTCTCTCAATCAGTGTCCTACAAATGGAATATAACAGCATCTTGCAGTTTTGCCTGGATGCTTGCAATTGTACAAGAAATTCACACTAAATTCTCACCTTTGTGACCTGAGAAGAAGGTAGGTTTTTAAAAAAGACCCCAAACTACCTCTGAGCATAGCAGCCCCTGGAAGATGTCTTATCTTGGTGTTGAATCATATTATTTTCAATAGGGTTCATGTCAATTTGAAAGAACGTTTTAAAAAGACAGAACAGTTCCTCAGTAATTATAGCTATGCCAGCTTAATTTACAAACTCCCATAAGTCTGTTGACACATGGTAATAGTGGTATTTAATCATTGTTCTAATATCAGATTTCTACTGCTTTGGTACCTTTGGTGTCTTTCATTGCCAATTTCATCCTAAGCGCCCTTTATTTTTCAAAAATGGGAAAAGGAAAAATTTCTCCAAGACATGAGTGTCTGGAAATGCACCATGGTACAGGTTTCATTCTCCTAGGAGAGTCAAATGTTTGTGTCAAAACC